AGGGTTCGATTCCTGGTCAGGGCACATGCCGGGGTTGCAGGCTCGATCTCCAGTGTGGGGTGTGCAGGAGGCAGCTGATCGATTCTCTTTCATCATTGATGTGTCTATCCCTCTCTCCCTCTCCCTTCCTCTCTGGCATCAATAATAAAAATAAAATATATTGTTAAAAGTATAGTATATACATAAACTAGTAACAGGGTCATTTATCATTATCACGTATTAGGCACCGTCCATAATTCCATGTGCTGTATTTTTATAGTGCGGTCAGAGCAGTAGGGTTGTTTATATTGGCATCACCACTAACAGGTGAGTCATGACTGCGCTGTGAGGACACTAGGTGATAGGGATTTCTCAGCTCCGTTGTAATCTTTTTTTTTTAAATATATTTTATTGATTTTAGAAGAGGAAAGGAGCGGGGGAGAGAGAAACATCAATGATGAGAGAGAATCATTGATTGGCTGCCTCCTGCACGCCCCCCCACTGGGGATCGAGCCCACAACCCAGGCATGTGCCCTTGGCCGGAATCGAACCCGGGACCCCTCAGTCCGCAGGCCGCCGCTCTATCCATTGAGCCAAACCAGCTAGGATTCCATTGTAATCTTACGGGATCACTGTCTTTCATGTGGTCCGTCAGCGAACAAAACGTCGTTATGCGGCACCTGACTGAATGTACATATGGTGGATCGATCACTAAAAAGCATTATTAGTTCATCTGTTTGTCTCAGTGGAGTGTGAACTGCTGCAGGTACAGGGCGGTATCTCATTCCCTGGGTCATAGTCATGCACAGTATTTGCTGAACCACCCTCTGGCCCAAGACCAAATTTGTAACCTTACGGGATCATGGTCTTTCTTGTGGTCCGTCTTATGCGGCACCTGACTGAATGTACATATGGTGTATCGATCACTAAAAAGCATTATTAGTTCATCTGTGTGTCTCAGTGGAGCGTGAACTGCTGCAGGTACAGGGCGGTATCTCATTCACTGGGTCATAGTCATGCGCAGTATTTGCTGAACCACCCTCTGGCCCAAGACCAAATTTATATTTGCTTTACTAAGGCACGGGTCCAACTCTCTTATTGACCTTAAAAAACAATGACTCCCTGATACTCCACAGACCAAGTTCGAATAACAGGAAAAGAGTGTACTTGAGTTTTTACTTCTATCCATCTTAACATGAGTCGTATGTTTTCAACCTTGCATCTTTGCTGCAAGCATAACAGAAGTATTATGGTCCAATTATGAAAACTTTCATGCCTCTGAACAGTGCCAGAGAACAAAGCACCTACTCTATTTGGCCTCCTCTCTTTAAAAATTTTCCCAGAAAGTGAGACCCAGAAAGACAAAAGTAAACTAATAAGTCTCTTTGCTGGTATCGCTTGTCCCTTTCAAACGGTTTACATTGCGTGGGTCTCGTGAGGGTCATGGTCATCACATTCCTCAACTAGCTTTTTCCACTTGAACTCATTCCTAATGTTTTTCCCCACATTTCATAACCGCATGCCCAGAACTTGACTCCCTGCAGAACTGGGGGGATTAAACTGTATTTGATCTCATTTCTTATCGGAGTAGCCAGTTATTGCTCATCATGTTTCTCCCTGAAGTTTAGCCTCTTATAACTAAACTAGAGGCTCAGTGCACAAAAATTTGTGCACTGGGGGAGGGGGGGTCCCTCAGCCCAACCTGCACCCTCTTGCAATCCGGGACCCCTCGGGGAATGTCCGCCTACTGGCTTAGGCCCGCTCCCCATGGGCCTAAGCCAGCAGTCAGACATTCCTCAAGTCCAGGAGCTCTGACTCCTTACCACCCATCTGCTCATATGCTCGCTGCTCTTTAGCGCTGCCTCAGAGGCGGGAGAGGCTCCTGCCACCGCAGCTGCACTCGCCCACCGGCTTCTGGCTGAGTGGGTAATGGGAGCCTGCTGGCTGGGGAAAGGGATCGAGAGGTGATCAGTGCACCTCGTAGCAACTGGTAGAGTGGTCGTTCTGGTCATTCCCGTCGTTTGGTCAGTTTGCATATTACCCTTTTATTATATAAGATGACCACTGTCCTCCAGTTTGTGTGTTTAAAAGAAATGAGGCCGCTCTACAACAAAAACGACACTTTCCTTACTAGGTAAGCTCATCATTTTTCAGAAAGAGGATTGTGATTCCAAGAAGAAAAAAAATGCTTTCGTTCAGAAAGGCTTCCCTTCCCCCGCCCCCCGACCCCGTCAGCAAACTATGATTCTGGAAAAGTGCACGAAAGACAACAACAGCAACCTCATCGGATGACATGTGTTTGTGGGAGTTCAGCTCTAACGTCACGGGCAGGCATCACCAAGCAGGCACTCTTGTTTTGCAACGTGTCACTGCGGAATTTTTCACCGTGCCTCCTAAATGCTGATACTGCCTCTCGAAGTGATTGGAACATTTTCTACACCAGCAGGGACTGACCACACGGAAGAGATAAGAATAGCTCTCCTTGGGAACGTGGAGGCGTAGCAAACAGGATTCTGCCCCCTGACGCTGCGAATATCATTTCCCCGGGGACGTGTCTGGGAAAAGGCTGGCAGGCAACGATGTACACACTCCTAGGTCTGGACCCAACCGAAGTGTCTCCATATGTTTACGCAGAGTCACAAGGTAGGATGTTCACTCTCCACGTCAGTCCTCAGTGAGGAAGGAGAGCGGACCCCAGGCGTCCATGCCACGCACTTCCCTACGTCCAGCCTACGAACGCACACAGACGGTGACGGGGCACCGGGCGTGGGCTGCATAATCTAATAGGGACAGAGTCCCTCTGGGGTGTCCTCCAGCACAGAGCGATCCCGCACAGCAAAAAGGGAGTAGGTGGAGCACCTGCTCTGAACCAGGCCGTCTTCACAAACAGCCTGTGAGGTTGCATTGTTATCCCCATTTTACAGACAAGATCATAGAGGCTCACACCAAGACACCTCATGATTAAAATGACGAAGGTTAAAGACAAAGAATTTAAAAGCAGCAAGAGAAAGACAGTTCCCTCCAAGGGAGTTCCCAGGAGACGGTCAGCTGATTTCTCAAGAGAAACATTTCAGGCCAGAAGAGATTAGCAGGAAATATTCCAAGGGATGAAAAGCAAGGACCTTCCACCAAGATTACTCTCCCCAGTAAGGCTATCGTTTAAAATTAAAGGAGAAATAAAGAGCTTCCCAAACAAGAAAAAGCTAAAGGAGTTTGTTACCGCCGAACCAGCATTATAAGAAATGTTAAAGGGCCTGGAATCAAAGAAGAAGAAAGAAGGAGAAAGGGTGAGGAGGAGGAGACGATGGAGGAGAAGCAGCAGCAGCAAGAGGAAATAGTTAAAAGAATAAAATGGCAATGCATATGTACCTATCAGTCATCACTTCAAATGTAAATGGATTAAATGCTCCAATCAAATAACATAGGGGAACTGAATGGATAAGAACACAGGACCCATATATGTGCTGTCTACAAGAGACCCACCTCAGGAGGACAGACACAGACAAAAAGCGAAGGGATAGAAAAGGCTACTTCATACAAATGGAATGTTTTTAAAAAGCTGGGTAGTAATACCTGTATCAGACAAAATAGATTTTAAAACAAAGGCGATCAGCAGAAAAAACGGACATTGGATTTCCACTGGCGTGCAGGAAGGGGGAGGGGAGTTCCATTTCTGTACCTCTGCGGAGGAGTATTTCAAGGAACAACGCCCCCCCCCCCACCGTGGCCCAATGCGCAGTTTAGGGGGGCAGCTTCTGGCAGGAGCAAACCTCGGGGCCTCAGCAAGCCCCCCTCCCAGGGCCCTGTGGGGAGTAGAGAGCACCCTGGGGTGGGTTTCCTAGCAAGCTCCTCCCTGCCTTGGGGTTGGGTGGGAGAGGTCGGGAGAACTAGGTAATTCGCACACTATGGTAATGCCTGCTTTGTGGTCTGTGATCAGTGGCTCTACAGCACCACCCCTGAGCTAAATATCAATATTCGTATTTTCTTAATTAGGATGCAAGAGAAGGGGCTTTAACTTTTCTCATTGGGAGGTGGAGGAGCGTGTAGAGGAGAGTATAGGGGGGATAGATGGTGAAGGAAGGAGACTTCACTTGGGTGGTGAACATACAATGCAATATACAGATGGTGTATTATACATTGTACACCTAAAACCTACATAATCTTACTAACCAATGTCACCCCAATCAATTCAATTTAAAAAAAGAAACACTAACATGAAAACAATCTCCTTGAATCTGTTACGTTGCCTGGACGGTGCTGGAGTGGGCCATCGTTGCGCCCCTCGTCCCAGGTTTCCTGTGTTTGTTCTGTTTGTTTGTTTATTTAAATATATTTTGACAGAGTTCAGAGAGGAAGGGAGAGGGAGATAGAAACATCAACGATGAGAGAGAATCATCAACCAGCTGCCTCTTGCACAACCCGCCATCGGAGATCGAGCCTGCAACCCAGGCATGTGCCCCGACCGGGAATGGAACCGTGACCTCCTGGTTCATAGGTGGAAGCTCAACCACTGAGCCACACTGGCTGGGCTGATTTCCTGTGTCATTCTCACATTCTCCCTGGGCATGGGGTTCAGCTTGCTGCCTGAAGACTAGGGGAGAGAACCACACTGCACACCCTTCAGATCGGCTGAGGTGGCAGGACCGTGCAATGGTAAAAAGACCTCGGCAAGTGAGGCCAGCCCTACCTCCCCGGCAGCCTCGAGCTCCACCGCTGAGCGTCCCTGCTTCTTCCCGAGGCGGTGATCAGAGGTCGAGGAGGCGGCTCCCACGTGGACAGGGGCAAGCGCTGGGCTCATCCTGCCCAGAAAGAGAAAGTTGGTCACTAATCCCAGAGGGAAATGGCAGCGGAGCTCCCATCTCTCTGTGCTGACGTCAGGCAAGGAGGGTGGCTTGCCAAGCTCACCTCGGACGCTGAAGAAGTGGACCCTTCTAGATGGTTCCTTCTGATTTCAGCCCCCTTGACAACACTGTGCAAACTGTGTCTGATTTGCTTCCACAGTGCGGGCTGCACAAATCTTGGCGGAGTGCCTGGCCGTGCCAGGGATGGTGCTGGGCCCTGGGGTCAGGGCAGCGACCAGGACAGACAAGCTCCAGACGGCTGTGGTGCCGCCCGTCTGCCCGGGGAACCACGTCCACCTGCTCCTGTTGTCGGGGCAGCTCTGCTCTCTGCCTTCCATCCCCTCCCGCACGCTCCCCGCAGGGCCTGAGCCCCACCCAGCCTTCAGCTATCAGGAGGGCTAGCGCTGGCCCTGCTCCATCTTCTCAAAGGGAGGACTGCCTGGACCTGGCCGGTGTGGCTCAGTGGATAGAGCGTCAGCCTGTGGACCGAAAGGTCCCGGGTTTGATTCCGGTCAAGGGCACATGCCCGGGTTGCAGGCTTGATCCCCAGTAGGGGGTGTGCAGGAGGCAGCCGATCCATGATTACCTCTCATCATTGATGTTTCTATCTCTCCCCCTCTCCCTTCCTCTCTGAAATCAATAAAAATATATTTTTTTAAAAAGAAAAAAAGGTAGGATTTCCTGGCAGGGACAGAGGGTCTCTCGAGAAATGGAAGGAGCTGTTGCAAGTTGTCTTTTCTGAATTCCTTGAAACAGGAGGGACCCCTCCCCAGCTGCCCCTCGCCTTGTTTAATCCCAGCTGACACACAGGCCAGGCACTGTTGCGCGTGGGGTTGAAGGATGAAGGCCGCGGCCCGTCTGCAGCGGGAGGGAGGGAGGTGGGGAGGTGGGGAGGGCCCCGCTGACACCCCACCAGCCACATTCCATCTCCGGCTGGGATGGCGGAGGCCTGCTCTCTGGTGGCTGAGACTCATGGCGCGAAGGGAAAGAAGCCTTGAGCCCCTTCAGAGCTTCTCAGCCGAAAGGGGGAGATGGCGGTGGGCTCGCTGGGTACGGGTCCCAGCACAAATGCTCGGCCGAGCGGATTCTCAGATGTACGCCCGCGGCCTGAGAGATGGGGTGGCGATCAACATGTGGGTGCCACGGGCTGTGGTTCAGAGGAGGGCGCTGGGCAGGGAGGGGCTGGGTGGGAGTGGCATGGGGACTGGGGGGAGGGGAGAATCGGAGGGTTCCAGGGACTGAGTATGGGAACTAGGAGTTCATGGTCGGAAATAGGGCCCTGGATTGGGTGCAGGAAGCGGGGGGAGCCAACCCCAGGGGTTCCCTTCCAGGAAGTCCCATTTCTGTACCCCTGTTCCCGGAACAGCCCCAGTGGCCCCATGCTCAGACTAGAGGGGCAGCTCTTGGCAGGAGCAAATGTTGGGGCCTCAGCAAGCCCCCCCACCACCCTCCTTCCCAGGGTCCCGTGGGGAATGAGGGCATGGAGGGGCAGCTCTTGGCAGGAGCAAACATTGGGGCCTCAGCAAGCCCCCTCCCCCTGCACCCTCCTTCCCAGGGTCCTGTGGGGAATGAGGGCACCTAGGCTGGGTCTCCTAGCAGGTCCCCCCCTGCGTGGGCTTGGGTGGGAGAGGTCAGGAGGACGGCGTCTCCGCCAGGGCTCCGGCCGGGCCGGTGGTCTCGGCCCCCTCTTCCCCCTCTTCCCCCTCTTCCCCCTCTTCCCCCTCTTCCCCCTCTTCCCCCTCTTCCCCCTCTTCCCCCTCTTCCCCCTCTGCAGGCGTCATGTGGCTGGAAATCCTCCTCGCCTCGGCTCTGGGCCTCGTCATCTACTGGTTCTTCTCCGGGGACAAGGAGGACACTCTGCCACTTGGAGATGGGTGGTGGGGGCCCGGGGCCAGGCCCGCAGCCCCGGAGGATGAGAGCATCCGCCCTTTCAAGGTGGAAACGTCGGACGAGGAGCTCAACGTAAGGCCCCTCTTCCCGGGCAGGCTGAGCAGAGGGAGGCAGGAAGCACCCCCACATTTGCCTGAGACTGGGGAGGGGGCTGGGGGGGGAAAGGGCCGCTCCTCAGAGTGCCCAGGTGGGAGAGGGGGTGCCCGCCGGACCCAGTTTCGTGTCTCACCTCCTTTGCGGCCCATCTGGAAGCTGGGGAGGAGCTTACAGGAGAAAGCGAGTAGGTTGTCTGTCGTCAGGCCCTGGGCGGAGAGCAGGCCACGGGGCCATCCAGTGCTGAAGCACAGAGAACCTGCTGGCGGGGCCAGCGCTGGTTAAGCACCTACTGTGTGCCAGCCACTCACGGTCGCCCCAGTCCCTGCAGTCCTCCTGCCGGGTGAGGTCTTTGTTCTCAGCTGCAGAAACTGAAGCTCGGGGAGGGACAGCAGCTCCTCCCAGGTGAGGGAGATGGCGTGCAGGATTCCGCCCGAGGTCTGCCCGGCTGTAAGGCCTCGTCCTCCTCCGCACGGGGCCGGAGGCAGGAAGGACGAGGCCAGCGGGGTGGGCTGACCCAGAGGCTGGCTCCAGCAGCCCCACGAGGGTGGGTGGGGCCTGGGATGCCCCATTTTTGCTTTCCTTCTGTGGTATGGGAGCACCTACTATGTGCAGGCGCTATGCTGGGTGCTCGGAAGGCAGGCAGATTCTTCCCTCACCTAGCTCAGCGTTCAGTCGTTGAGGAAAGAAATGCGCAGAGAGAAAAGCTAACTGAAAGGTTAAAAGGATTTAAATGGCGTCAGACGAGCCAAGGAAAATGTCGCGAGAGTTCGGAGAAAGGCGGGGTTGTTGAAAAGCAGAAACTGGCCGCCCCCAGGAGAAAGCAGGTGTGGCTCCTTGCAGCACCTGATCAGGCCTCACTGTTTAGGACAGAGGCCGAGCCCTGGGGAGAGCTCCTTTAGTGGGTTCTTAGGCTCGGAGCCTAACTTTCCAAAATCTGTTTGGGGTGACCCCAATGCTTGGGGAGGGGACACTCCAGGAAGACTCCATCAACTAAACTAACTTCCCCCAGCCAGCACTGCTGTCTTGGTCCGATGTACGCCCATCGGACCTGATCCCTCTTTTATCCCAGCTCAGTTATAATATATTAATTATTCGGTGCTGTACTCCCAGTGGGTGAACCACAGCTCATGGACAAACCCCTCCTGCCACCTGATTTTATACAGCCCCCATGCTAAGAATAGTTATCTTTTTTTAAAGATGCTTTTTCTCATTTTATTTTTTTAAATGTGTTTTTATTGATTTCAAAGAGGATGGGAGAGGGAGAGAGAGAGAAACATCAATGATGGGAGAGAATCATGGATCGGCTGCCTCCTGCACGCCCCCTACTGGGGATCGAGCCCGAAACCCGGGCATGTGCCCTGAGCGGGAATCGAACCGTGACCTCCTGGTTCATAGGTGGACGCTCAACCACTGAGCCACACCAGCCAGGCAGTGTTTATATCTTTAAACGGTTGAAAAAAATCAAAAGAAAAAAAATGTTTCATGACATGAAAATTATATGACAGGTTCAGGTCCACACATACAGTTTTGCTGGGACACAGCCACACTCACTCCTCCACGTACCATCGTCCATGGTGCTTGGAGGACAGAGTGGAGGAGTGGCTGGTCAAAAGCTTAAAATACCGGCTACCTGGGCCTCTACCCAAAAGGTTGGCCAGCTCCTGCACACAGAAGCCTAGATCAACTAAAGATGCGTATTGTTCATACATTTAAACCAGTGGTTCTCAACCTTCTGGCCCTTTAAATACAGTTCCTCATGTTGTGACCCAACCATAAAATTATTTTCGTTGCTACTTCATCACTGTCATGTTGCTACTGTGACGAATCGTCATGTAAATATCTGATATGCAGGATGGTCTTAGGCGACCCCCATGAAAGGGTCGTTCGACCGCCAAAGGGATCGCGACCCACAGGTTGAGAACCGCTGATTTAAACACGGAAAGACGAGAAATAAACCTGAAGTCAAAAGCAAGGAACATGGGCCCTCGCCGGTGTGGCTCCGTGGTTGAGTGTCAACCCACGAACCAAGAGGTCACCGGTTCAGTTCCTGGTCAGCACACAGCTCTTTATCCCTCTCCCTTCCTCTTGCTCTAAAAAAATCAATGAAAACATATATATTTTAGCCGTAGCTGGTTTGGCTCAGTGGACAGAGTGTTGGCCTGTGGACTCAAAGGTCCCGGGTTCGATTCCTGGTCAAGGGCACATGCCCGGGTTTCGGGCTCGATCCCCAGTGAGGGGTATGCAGGAGGCAGCCGATCCATGATTCTTTCTCATCATTGATGTTTCTCTCTCTTTCTCCCTTCCTCTCTGAAATCAATATCTTCCTCTCTGAAATCAATAAAAATATATTTAAAAGACAAAAAAACATATATTTTAAAAAGTAAAGAGCACGAGCTTTAGGAACAGCCACTGTGATGGGAAACGCAGAGGTTTCTTCTGGGTTAAACCCGACGCCCGGAGCGCAAGGCCAGGCCGGGGGCCTCCGCACCCTCTGGCTTTGCCGCCGCGGGAGGGTAGGGTTTGCTCTTTTGCTCTGTCCTCCGGAAACGTACCTCCTCTCTGCTCTGCCCCCCGACCCCTCTCTCCTCGGGGCCCTGCGCGCTGCTCCAGGATTTGTACCGAAGGATCGAGAAGGTCCGCTTAACCCCGCCGCTGGAGAACAGCCGCTTCCACTACGGCTTCAACTCCAGCTACCTGAAGAAGGTCCTCTCCTACTGGCGGGACGGATTCGACTGGAGGAAGCAGGTGGCCGTTCTCAACAGATACCCTCACTTCAAGACCAAGATCGAAGGTATGTGTCCAAAAAACGCCAGTGGGGGGGGCTGGGGGGGGGCGCCGTCACGGGCACGGCCTTCGCAGACGCTGGACGTGACTCAGACAAAGCTGGGGAGACCCAGGACCCAGGGGTTGGTCATGGAGATGTTATTTAAAACTTATCACAAGATGCAGACAGAACGCAAAATCCCAGCAAAGGCAACAGTGGGAGCCCAGGTTCCCACGCTGTCCGCCCAGCCTGGGGCTGGTCCAAGGCTGTCCTCCTCCCTCGTGTTCCGACCTCCTCAAGGTCCTCCCAGCCCTGCACTGACCCCTGCGCTCCAGGCTGCTCAGGCTCAACCCCCACCCCCGTGTTCTGTCCTCGTCCCCACCCACCTCACCATTTCATCCTCCCTGGTCTGTGGTGAGCCTCTGGCTCTCACCCCCGGCATGGCCTCCCACCACCGACCAGCCTCTACCAAGGCCTCCAGGGATGCTCAGCTCACCGCCCCAGAGCGATGGACCGAGTCACAGGGAGGCGGAGGTTCGAGGCCGGATGCAGCTGCTCAGCCGGTCCCAGCTCAGGCCCAAAGCCATGACCTCACTCCACACCCTCCCCTCGCCACCCACCAGGCCCAGCATGCGTCTGAGCCCAGCTTGGCTCCTCGCCCAGCACCCTGGGCCTGGAGCAGCCTGCGGGCACCACCGGCCGATAGAGAACGTGTCCTCCTCACAGGAGGAAATTTTGAAAAGTCAAATAGTTAAAATTCAAAAAGTACAGAAGGATACGCAGTGAAAAGGAATCTCCCCAGTCCCCCCCTCTCTCCCATTCCCCCCAGATATCTGCTCCCAGGGAGAGCCGGTGGACACCCAAGCATGTATGTCTGTATGGGTTTTGTGCTTTTTTTTTCTAATTTTATACCCAAATGACAATGTGATCAAACTTGAATTAAAAATAATCTCGCATCCTGCACTGTGCCTCAGAGGAGGCAAGATTCCCAACTAAAATAAACCGGAGGATGGGGTAACTTGAGCAGCATAGAAGGGTGTCCAGGATATATTACTCAGTGAAAAAAAAAACAAAAACATAAGGTTCCAAAATAGAACGCGTGCAGGGTTCTGTTTGGATTGAAGGAAGGGATGTTCTTGACGAATTTTTAAAAAAATCTGAACCGTCACAGCCAAGAGGAGGCTAAGAAGACGGGACAACTGAATGGGACGTCCCCCACAAAGCAGCATCTCATGAGCCGTGTCCTGTGGGATAAATGCACGTCTACACTGTCCTTCTAAACAGCTGTACTGCACTCCAGGGCACTGCTGAACTTCAATCTGTCCCATACTCTGTGGCTAAGATACATGGAGCATTTCCCCCTGATATTTAAACTATTAAACAAGTGTTTCATGAGCCTGCCATGAGACAGGAAGCAGCAGTGCACCACCACCCTGGCCCCGGCCACATGGAGTTCCCTGTCCTCACAGGGAGGCCGTGGAGGCTGAGCGAGGGCCCGTGCAGCAGGTGCGAGTGTAAGCGCTCGGCCAGCGCTGGTGGCTCTTGCTGTTCCTACTGTGACCTGTGCCCCAGGGTGGGGAGCCGAGGTGGCAGAACCCGCTGGCTGGGCTCCCCAGCTGCAGGGCCCTGGCCCCCTTGACACCCCCCTTGCCTGTGCTCTGCCCCCCACCCCCACCCCCAGGGCTGGACATCCACTTCATCCACGTGAAGCCCCCGCAGCTGCCCGCCGGCCGCACCGCCAAGCCCTTGCTGATGGTGCACGGCTGGCCCGGCTGCTTCTACGAGTTTTACAACATCATCCCGTTCCTGACGGACCCCAAGAGCCACGGCCTGAGCGACGAGCACGTGTTCGAGGTCATCTGCCCTTCCATTCCCGGCTACGGCTTCTCCGAGGCGTCCTCCAAGAAGGGTAGGGGCTGCTGGGGCCCGTGGGCCGCCCTCCTCCCCTGGAGCCAGGCTTTCCCACAGGCTCTCCTGGGAGGAGGAGGCAGGGAGCCGGCCGGGAAGCTTCCTCCTGAGCCAGAGGAGGCGGGCAGGGAGGGAGGAGGGCAAAGGAGGTCACTGTCATTGGGCAGAAGGCCCAGGCCTCTTCGCAGGGTCTGAGAGTGCGGTGGGCCTGACCGACGTGGCTCAGTGGTTGAGCGTCGACCTATGAACCAGGAGGTCACAGTTCGATTCCCTTGATCCCCAGTGCGGTGTGGGCCCAGGATTCCTGCTGTCCTCCTGAGCCGCTCTTGGCTAGCCTGGGCCGGGGGTGAGGAATTTCACAGGACATGGGGGTGACGGCTCCATGACGCTGTCTCTCCCGCCCCCCCCCCCACCCCTTTTCCCACAACCAGGCCTGAATTCCGTGGCCACCGCCAGGATCTTCTATAAGCTGATGCTGCGGCTGGGCTTCCAGGAGTTCTATGCTCAAGGCGGGGACTGGGGGTCCCTGATCTGCACCAACATCGCCCAGCTGGTGCCCAGGTGAGGGTCCTTCGGGGTGGGGGGGTGTGCATGCGTGTGTGGGCACAGCACCGCCCAGCTGGCCACCCATGCAGCTGGCAGGGGGGCTCACGCTGCCCCCCTCCCCCTGCCCCCCAGGACACGGTGTGGAGCCTTGGAGGGTGCTGGATGCTGAGCCCAGGGCAGGGGGGAGGGCTCCCTGGCGTCCAGCTGCACCCGGGGCCCTGGGGACACCATCCGACCAGGGTTGGTGACACTGGGCCAGATGCCCAGGCAGAGAGGCCCACTTGGACGAGGGGAAGGTCAGGGAATAGACCTTCCTAATGGACCAAATACCTAAGCAGAACTTTCTAGAGACACTATTTTCTCGCCAACCTGCCCCTTTGCCTCCGATGGCCACCCTGAGAGGGGCGGGTGCCGAAGGGGGCTGGCCCTGGCGTCCTCTCCCTCCTCTGCCTCTCCCCTCCCCGCTCCCCCTGACACCCGCCGGCCGAGCCTCACCCGGCCCCTCTCCGCCCCCAGCCACGTGAAAGGCCTGCACCTGAACATGGCCTTCGTGGTGAGAAACTTCCACACCCTGACCCTGTTCCTGGGGCCGCGTTTCCGGAAGCTGTTCGGCTACACGGAGAGGGACATGGAGCTCATGTCCCCCCTGAAGGAGAAGATGTTCTACAGCCTCATCCGGGAGAGCGGCTACATGCACATCCAGTGCACCAAGCCGGACACCGTGGGTGCGTGCCGCGAGGGGGCAGGGGGCGGCGGTTTACATCCGCTCCATCCAGGAGGGCTCCCAACCAGGGGACCCCCGGCCCCCCAGGGGCCCTGCTCACAGGCGACAACCTCTTTGAGGGACTCGGAGCTCTTTTGACCCTTAAACTGCAGTTTTCCATGGAAGGGAGTTGATGGGTCGCCATCCAACTCCCCAACATTCCCGTTTGGGCAGCTGTCATATTCCTGGTGGCTTTGACCCCTGACCCCTCCACCCCTGAGGGATGGAGAGCCGTGGGGGGAGGAAGCCTGGGAGGGGGGCAGAGGAGGGGGTGCCCCAGGGCCCAGAGGGGGGTCCCCCTGACAGCAGGGGAGGACCCAGCAAGTTTCTGCCACCAGGATCCTGTTAAAGCAGCGGTTCTCAACCTGTGGGTCGCGACCCCTTTGGCGGTCGAACGACCCTTTCACGGGGGTCGCCTAAGACCATCGGAAAACACATCTATAATGACATCTTGTTTTTGTGATTAATCACTATGCTTTAATGATGTTCAGTAGTTTGTAACGAAATTGGGGGTCACCACAACATGAGGAACTGTATTAAAAGGTCGCGGCATGAGGAAGGTTGAGAACCGCTGTGTTAAAGGATCATTAGAAAAAAGACTAAAAAATTCAAAAGATCAGGCCCTACAGGTGGACAATGAACACAGGTCACAGGTTTTCCTTAACTTGCTGGTTAATAAAGGAACCGGTAGCACGTAAAACGGCACAATGCGCAGGCAGGCAGTTAGGGACCCTCACATTAAGGGGCTGGTGGGTGCAGAGGTCAGAATCCACGGTCATAACCATTTACACCCCCATTTGCTTCCCTATGAACAAGAATCGTGTGCGTGACCACCCGTCTTCCACAGTTTCCAGCCCCTAAACCAGCTCTAAGGCCGGGGAAGAGGGGACCCCAGAGAGTCCCATCCCCTGGGAGCACCCGCCAGGTGACTCCCCGACTCCCACTCAGAAAGCTCCCGGGACAGTCTGCCCATTTCACAGTCCTCGATCGTTCTCGGGACGGTCCCGAGCTCACCACACGCTAAGCCGCTCATGGAAATAACGGCGCTTCCTTCGTAAAGCCAGTTCTCCCCCCGGGATCACAAACGTGACCCACACTTGTGTTCAAAACATCGAAGGACGTGAAAAGCACAAAACAGAAACGACCGCCTGGCACCTCTCACCACCCCCCCCCCAGCTCCCCTTCCCAGCCTTCAGGCGAACTCGCTAACATGGTGGCTGATGGATTCTCACACGTGGAACCCACCCATCCATGTAACCAGACAGAACGCGACCGGCCGGCCAGCCAGACACCCCTCTTCCAAGCAATCTTCACCCCTTGCCCCCAGGGCAACACCTCCTGACCTGAGACAGACAGATCTGTTTTGCCTGTCTTGGTACTTAAAAAAAAAAAAAAAAAAAAAAAA